ATTCTTTGTTTCAGCCGAATCTCTTGTCCATGGGTTTGATCCTCATTTCATTTTCAAATGAGTCACTTTTATGTGACGAAGGAGTTCATCCGTTGGGTTTAGGAAGGAAACCACAAAAGCGCAAAAGCCCAAAAGCTCACGATCAACAAAAAAACAGCCATATGCAACGTGTCCTACTTTGCTGAGAGCAATATTTATGTCAAGACTTTGTAATGGGACAACGAGTGGGATCAATGGCATCCATCAGGCCGATTTGAGAATGAAAGTAGCCTTGAGAAGGCTTCAACGCCACTGGGGGCATCGTTTTTTTCTTTTACAAAACCTCCTTTACATGATTGCATCCTATGATGCGGCTTCATCCATCACACCTAGCCACAGATGAGAAACAACTGCACCTGTTTGACGCAATGGATGGATGAATCGGTTCAAGCACCAGTGATGTGATGAGCCATTTGAGATGAATTCCAGGACAAACGCCTCAAGAACAGAAGTTTCTTGGTCGGCGGTTGCTGCCAGTTTTATGTGTGGCATCGACAGATGGTGGGGTTCATTCATGCACCTGCCATCACTTCTGGATAGATCGCCCGTGTGTAGCTAATGATGAAGGACTACTTGTATTTCCTCTTTCTTCCTCTGAGGCCAAAGCACCTCACATCAGTGACTAGCGTTGATTTGTCTGCGGACACCAAGGTTCGAGAGCAAACACACATTTTATTTGGATTGAGGGAAGTGTTTGCTCTTTGATTGTAATATGCTCCTCCAGCAACACATACAATCACTGTCATGCAAGTGAATATGCAAAAGTGTAAAGGTTTTCCTTACTGCTGGCCTCAATCTGCAAAGGTCTTAGTGTTTAAATGAGCATGCTTTCAGACGGAGCATTGCATTGAATGCAGAATTTTTAGAAAAACTATGTAATAATGTTATATTTCCCTGCATTCTCTTTTTAGTGGATATTTGAGAATTGGGTTGTAACGATAACTGCACTGCAGCCCATGGCACAAAATGCTCTAAAAAATCATTACTTTGGTTTATTTATGAACTTGAATCATCTCCAGTGACGGACTCTTTGTTGGTTAATGTTTAATCAACAACAAATAAATAAACAAAATGATTCAAGAACTTATTTCCAGTAAGTCTGTTTTTAAGTTGCTCGGTAACACGTTAACGCTGCAGTGATGCGACTTATTGTTTGCAGAGCAGGAATTCAAGATAATACAAATCACCAAATTATTTGACTTCAACAGAAATGGTTGGAAACGGCATCAGCCAAATAAGCCTTTAAATATCTTAGCCTTGCATAAGATGTCACTAGTTAAAGTCTTCACAAGTTCACTGAAGTGTTTTAACACTTGATCCTTGGTGTTAGGCTGCTTTTGTTTCTTTAGGTTAATATACCTGATTCCTGATGAAACTGGCATTGCTCAACTTGTTATTTTTATTGTTAGACTTGTAGTCGTAGTCACACGGCGATTTTGAAGCCCTTCCTAAATGAAAAGCTGACTCAGGGCTTTTCCAACGAGTTTAGTTGTGTTAGCGTCACCAGAGGTTCGGGAAAACCATCATCAAAGTTACGTCACGCTGTGACTCACGCAGGCAGATTCTGCCGAGCGGAATTCCTGGTTTATATGCTGCATCCAGAAAAGTAATCTGGCCCATTACCATGAATTATGTACGCATGGGGCAGGTCAGCAACACGCTTTCAACATTTCGTCTTCATATGATGCCGTCATTCCCTGTAGTATTACCCTTGTTCGTCTGACCCTAAAGGGATTAATGGTGCATCCTGCATGGTCTGCAGAGATCAAGCTGCATAAAGCAGAAAGGAAATGCCTTTGACTGGCCCCTCGCATGAGCTGCCGCTCACTGGATGAACGTTTAAAGAAAAACATGGACAATTTTATATCAACCTTTGGGGTCAAATCAGAGCAACTGCGGATGCAGCTGACTGTTCACAGATAAGCAGTCAGGATATAGCCTAATGCATACAATGTGTCTGACTCAAGACGGGCCATCCACATTTCCCGTTTAGTGATACGTTGCCAGACTAAATCCTGGATTCATCCATGACAATGTCAGGATTTCTCCATGATTCATCCAATTGCATTCCTTCTCGTCTTTCTTTTTACTTACTTGGCAGAAACGTGTTCTTTGACGTTGGGTTCTCAGACAACCTTGACGTCATGTCAGTTACGTTTACTCTGCTCAGTGTGACACTCGCCACGTGTTGACGCCGTTATGAGCCCTCTGTGTGCGGGGGCGAGTCTGTGCGTGTGAATTGCACGAGGCATTATGACAGTTTACTGTAAGTTACCTTGAGAGGTTTTGTTCCACGTGCTTGCGGGCCTCTCTTTAAACACGCATTGGCCTCTCTGACATCTTTTAGCTTGTGAGAAATATGATAATCACTTTTTTAAAAAGAGCATTGAATATGAGAAAATAACTAGCAGAAAGAATTATCAGGCAATTCTTTTTAGATGAACACTGACGTTAAAAGGAGTTTTTGTGTTAGCAGTTATTATTAGAAGACGTGGCGTTAATACTTTATGTATCAGTTAAAAGTATAAGAAGGGGGATATTGCAACCTACGTTACGTGAAAATTATACAGTGTCCTTGCTTTCTGGTGTTAAAACACAAACACAGCTAAAACACAATACATTGGTATAGAGTGAATAGTTAGTAAAGCAGAAGACTCAAACACTGTATGTTTGGCTGAAATACAATTATTATTTCTACTTGCTTAATGTAATAATATAAAATGATTTAAATTAAATAAAAATAAAAATTGATCCATTTATGAGATGCAGCTCGTTTATATATTCCAGGATTATTAGGTTTTTTTTTGATTGCTTGTTTATTTTCTGCTTCTGTGCGCTACCCGAGCTGCTGTGCGCTCGTTGTTTGGGATTCCTAAATCAATACTGACGTGACTGGCAGCATTAGGCAATGATCACATTGGTAAGCAATGAATTGAGAGTGTCGGTACCGGATGTCACATACAGTATATGGCCAAAGCCACAGAATAAACAGCATTGTTGTCATTTCTATTTGTGAACTTTGAGGTATGACTATTCTCAACTGCTTTGATAGCTTTGTCAATTCACGCCGAGGTGTACTCGCACACTTTTCTCCCCACTTCCACCATGGGAACGGGGGTTACAGCATGGGGAGAGGTCAAACAAGTGAGGGGGTGGGTGGGTGGAGAACTGTTGTTGAGAGATATGAGTAAGACATGAGTCAACATTCCCATACTATAAGATGTTCTGATGGAGCCCAACGATGGCACAGCACAGACTTCCACCCAAGGTAAGGTCAACTCTCCTCTCCGCCTCGCTCCATCCAGCTCCATCACTCGGGCTTCGGCTTCTCAGCTCACTTTGGTTTTACAAGTACTGTACCCAACTTCTCATTCAACTGAAGGGGAGGAAGAAAGTGTTTGAGAACATTTGGATGGTACTGTATGTTGGATGTGTTTGTAAAAGGGTTGATTAGGTTGATAGCTCATGTTATTAGGAGCTCGTAGCCTTCGGTCTACTCCTCTCAGAGTATGCAGCAGAGATTTGGAAACAGAGGGGGTTGACAATATTAGTTACCAGCCAAAAGCAGGTGATCTTTGTACTTGTTACGTGGTCGAGACTTCAGAGGTGTCTCTATCAAACATAATGAGTTATTATTATATGGGAGTATATGTGTATGCATAATATAATGAAATGCACATTTCTCTATTCAGGAACACATAAACGCTTTTCTGACTTTGGTGCATCTGGAGAAAAAACATGGCCTACACTTGGACCCTCCTCTTTTCACTTTTCACTTCACCCATTTTAAGAGTGTGCACAGCTTCTCCTCTGCCAAGTGTGGAAGTGATGAAGATGGCCAAACAGCTCGTGGTGAGACTCGACGACTTTCAGGTAATATTTACAGTTCTGTTTGAGGGGGGCCGCGCATGCAAAGTATTTCCAAAAGTTGGTGTAATTCTGACTGACTCATGATCTTTCGCACGCTGCAGTTCCCCACCGATCTGACCATCGGCGCACTGGATTACGATTTTTCTGGAACGAAATCCATTGTGGCGGCTTTGGAGCGCTGTAACAGCCCGATCTCGGAAAGCCTGGAAGGGGTCACTCAGGTCAAGACAGAACTCTCTTCGCTGATAGGTTTCCTTCGTCGGTTGAAGCAATGCAGTGAGGATCCGGAGCCAACGTCGCCGGAGCCAACGCCGCAGGATCAACGGTTTATTCAAAGTAAGACCTTCGAGGGCCTAAAGAGAACAAGGGAGTATCTCCAGCAGCTGCAGCAAAATCTGGATAACCTTGACACTTGTTGAAAGACAGATATTACGAACAAAATCCGTAAATTGTGGCCTCGTTTTTGGAGAATGATTTGTCAGGTCTGCAGAATGTGACTTTTTGACACAAACTTATTTATATATTTTATTTATTTAAACTGGATAAAATGTATATTTTCTAACACTGTCTCACGGTGATGCCAACTGTGCTTCTATCTATGTTTTGCAAAAATTTATTAATTTATAAACACATCTTTGTATGACAATACGGTGGTATCAACAGTGCACTCGGCTGTAAATCCAGCCCGAGGAAGTGTCACAATAACCAGCAAAAACTAACAAACTTACCCTGATCAACAGCTCAGGGCAAAGGGTAACTTCCATATGAGTACAATATCCCCAACTCCTTTGGAACTGTTTATTGATATCTGAAAATATTTTGACATTTGCCTTTTTCATATTGAATTAAAAATGAATACATTTAACAAATATATTGTGGGACGCAAGTTTGTCACGGATACATTAAGACAAAGAAAAGAGATCAGAATAAAGTGGAAGAGCAAAGCGAGCCAGTTTAAACACACCTGTGGGTGTTCAGCTCCTGCTTCACTAGTACTCAAGGTCCATGAGTGGTGTTTATCCGCAACAATCGATTATGATCCCTTTTGGTCGCACGTATTTGAAACTATCCAATAAATATAAATCACACGCTTTTAAAATCCAGACAATAAAACCCACATTTATTTTTCCATAAAAAGTACAAGAATGACATGGTTTGTTTGAGAGGTACAAACATGGATTACAGAAATGCAAAATAAGGATGAAGAATGTTAGAGCACGGCGCAGTTTCATGAGAACAACTGCACTTGTTTAAAGACCTCGGGACGCAATTGTGGATGACCTCTGTTGTGGTAGTCAAACACATTGCGTGTCTCTCTCGCTCTCTCAAACAAACAAACACTCACACACAAACACTGCGTTAACTATCAAACCACTTGCTTCTCTTGAGATTGGTGACGTTGTCGCTGTTACCCATCAGTTTCTTCTTGTACTGCTCCACCAGGCTGTCAAAGCGGTCCCCACCATTTCTCTTGAAATTCTTCTTTTGGGTTTTAACCTTCAGGAACGAAATAAAAAGGGTTGTGAGGCAGAACAGAACAGAACGACTTGTCTTACTAACTTTGCATTCAAATGCTTGGAAACCTGTGTTGTCCACACTTTGCTCTGGGAAGTCTAAAAAAAGTCAAAACCACTGCGTACCAATTGCAACAGTCATTAATCCTTACAAGCGCAAATCTGTGCCTCAGTGCGCTTTCCCGACCACTTTTACTACCAATTCCGTCTCACCGTCTCTTTCCCTAAACAGGAAAACAAGCCAGTTTTTGAAAACCGGGGATTTTTGAAAACGTACAACTTAATGCAAAGCAAATGATGGCATTCGTTAGGTACTCGTTTGAATCTGATCGTCTGTATAGCTTAAGAAATGTAGGCTGGCCTTTCTAGAATATGGCAGAATTTGTTACATTCATCACAACGCCACAAACGTTCAGTTCCAAGTTGAACTGCGGTCTACGGATAAATAATAAATAAAAAATTGATGTTAGAAAAAAGATCGTTGGATCCACCTGATGTGGTTCTTAGGATTTTCTTTCCTTATTTAATAGTTGGTTATTTTTGAAGTAGGGGTCCTGAGCTCTTTGTTGGCGCTCGAGGTTTCCCAAATGTCCAAGCAGAGGACTTTAAACAGGAGTACTGACAAAGACATGGTTTTCGATACTATCTGATAAACCAGCAGCTATTCTTCCCTGAGAGATGTTCTGTGAATAGCAAATACAACAGAAGTATTTATGAACCTGGTTGCTGCGCTGTGTGGGCTTTTCCATCTGCTGTCTCTGCCGGTCCTTCCTGGTGGATCCCGGCCGGCCTTTCTTGGGTGGCGGAGCCTGTTGCTTTCCCCTGTCACGCAATCTGTAAAGGACAACGATTTGTAATGTGTGACAGAATTCTGTCTCTTGCTGTTTAAGAGACTTTTGGAATATGTTCACCCAATGTTTAACATGACAAAGAATTTTCAGTTTTTTGCAAATCATTTCAGATTTCTCTAATATTATATATATTATATTTCGGATACGTGTTATATTTAACACGTATGCGAAAAGAAATACCTGACACATTTTACTGTCTTCATTCAGATGCTTGACAGGAGTACAGGTAAAAATAGGTGTACCTGATCTTAGGCCCCCGATGGGAAGGAAAGTTTAGAATCTTCTTCCGCTTCTTTCCATTCTCCAAACTAACGTGCTCCACCTCAGGTTTGGTCTGGAAGCCTAAAAAGCGGGTGCCTTGCTTCTGGGTTTCAACAGGAGCTGACAATCACAGAAAATCAAACATGGTAAAGAAATGTAAACATAAAAGGTGAACCATGTTGGGAACAGAAATTAAAAGGCCACAGTAAAGTAGTTTTAATTCAGTGTCAAATGCAATGTGGTTTCTCAGCAGCGGGCTGAGCTCCATTAAACATTCACGTTCAACTGTCCCGTTCTCGCAACTTGGAAAGTCAAAGAGTGTAAAAACTGAAATAATAATTTCATACCTTGCTCGTTTTGTGTCGGGTTAGATGGGGATTGTGCTTCATTTTGACCTTTCCTGGGTCCTTTATCCTCTTTGACTGTCTGCGGTGGCGGTTTTTGTCCCCTTTTAAGAGCCAGATTGTGTTCCTACAAAGATAAACAAACGTTTAACTTACATTTAGACGACACAAAGTCTTTCAATTAGAAGAACCCTCAAGTGTAACTGTCACACAAATGGACAGAAACGCACCTTATTTCTTTGTTGACGCATGTCTTTCATTTTGAGTTTCTTAGAATCTTCCAGAGAGAACTCAACAATAGGTCTCTGCAGCGTGCAAAGAAACATAACACAGTGAGACACACAAACATGTCTGAATAAAAGGTAAATAAATACAGCAGCAAACATGCTGATAACGGATGTCAGCCTGAAAAAAAATGTACCTTGTGTGCGCCAAAGATGTCGGGGTTGTTGTTAAGGTAACGAAGTGTGGAGAGAGCATGTTCATGGTCCTGGAACTGGACAAACCCGTAACCCAGCGATTTTCCCATCGCCTGACCCTTCACGGGCCTCTTGTCATACATCACCCGGCACTAAGAGGAGCACACACACGCATATAGCGTGTGAATAATAATAGTAATGACAAGAACACCCCCTAGTGGGCACACAGATCTATGACAGTCAACATTATTAAATACTACTGCAAAACCATTTCCAGGGATGTTTTTACAAAAATGCAGTTTCCCGAATGCGGCCTTCGTTCTCACCTCCGTCAAGCGGACTCCCTTGTTTCCTTTCACTGCTTGGAGGCAGAGTGCTTTGAGTTTTTTATCGTCCACTGACTTGGGCAAGTTATGGACACATAGACGATTCTTTGACACAAACACGTTGATGGCCCGAAGCTTGGTCCTCTTTATTTCTTCAAACTGAGGGAAATGGAAAACATGAGTCAACGTAGAAGTAATATGTTGAAAACGATCCTGGTGAGATAAACGATTTATGCATTACATCTCCTCTGCGAGGATGACAAGTGTTGAATGGGAAATGAAGAATGAACTCACCCTGGTTCTTTTGACCATGTCTGCTTCAGGAACACCCTCCGCTGCTTTGGTTCCAGGACGGATCACTGGGGTCAGGTGAAAGGATCATGCATTTTAAAAAACTGATTTATAAGCAATTCCGCAAAGACAATGAAAGTTATTATAGGAATACACAAGACCAACATCGATATGAAGAGCGGTCGGTGGCAATCTTTAGCAGAGTATTATGAATGTTGGGTCAAATCTGCATGAAGCAATACCCTACATATTCACAGTAAATCAAACCTTCCTAGTGGTCACTAGTGGAGCTGCAGGACAAAAGCAGGGAAGAGGAGCATGAGACGGGTCTACTCACGTCCCTCTCTGGCCAGATACAAGTTTCTGGTGCCCGATTCCACTTTCACTTTATCCACCTTCAGCTTGGAAGCATCCTCTCTGGTCACTGCTGCCACAACCAACAGCTTTCTGCCATCTACACGGACGCCACCGTTCTGCATCAAACAATGCATTGTTTACAACAAGGCAACATTATAACTCATTGCAAACAGAACAAGGCTACAAATGAGGCCGTGTCATAAGAAAGCTAGTTATTCAGAAGGTATTACCTCTGCTTCATCCGCAGCTTCCGCTATGCACTTGTCTGCAGCCTCTTTAGTCTTGAACTGAACAAATGCACAACCTGGTGGAACAACAATTTCAAAATAAGACAATCAACCCGTTTCCCCAACAACAAAGGGAAGAGCGGTAGCTCAAGCACAGCTGGCTGACCTTTGGAGTGTCCTGTTGCTGCGTGGATGACGATCTTAATGTAGTTCAGCTCGCCATACTTGAGCAGAACTTCCTCAAGGCCCTCTTCCTCTGTATCGAAGGAAAGGTTCCTAAATCAGTCGGGAATAAGACGAACACGGACGGTCACGTGATTGATACAAATGCGGGCAAAATCTGAGGATTAAAAAATGGGTGTAGGGTCAACGATCAAACTAAATCATGTTTAAGATGAAGCAGTGAAGAGAATAGTAAACCTGATGAAAATGGTTCTGCCCTCTTTCACATCTGAAGGGAGAAGTTTCTTTGAGATTTTCTTTTTAGCTGTGAGGTAAAAGTAGCAGACAAGCACAGTCAAGAAAAAATTCACATGGAAATCGTTGTTAACATGCAAATTATAAGCAGGGAATGGCTACCTGATTTATCTTCCTCTTCTTCATCATCATCATCATCATCTGAATCTAGGCTACTCTCATCATCGTCGTCACTGCCGTCATCTTCTTCCTGAGACACGTCCTCATCATCCTCTTTCTTGTCGTCATCGTCATCCTCCTCCTGCTCACTGTCTTCTTCCTCACTTGCATCTTCATCTTCATCATCATCATCATCATCCTCCTCCTCCTCCTCCTCCGATTGGGATTCTTCCAACTGCTTCACAGATTGTTTGGAAGGGACTCTTTGGGAAAGTTTGAAAACAAAACAGTCCAGTTAAACAGTTTTAACCCCTGGTGGCACACTGAGGCAGGTGTAAAGAAATCATACCTTTTCTTTTCAGGTGCAGCTTGTGGCTTTTCTTCATCCTCGTTTTTCGTGTCACTTTTCGTGTCTAAAATGGGTGTAGTTGCTGGTGTGATCTTTGTTTCTATTATAGAAACAAAGCGATGTTAATCATTACCGTGTATATATATATATAAAAAATTAGAATGTCTACTCACTCATTCTTAATGTGCATTGAATAATAAAACACTATGCATTCGTCTTGCAGATGAAAAGGGAACTATTACCTGCAGTGGACTGCTGTGTAGCGATGTACTTGTCCTTAGGCACAGCCCAGTCAATTGCTACCTGCCGACCTGTAACATTTAAAATTTAGTCACATCATAGAAGCTAAATAACAACTCATTTCCCAAATTGAGATGTCAACAATGAACTTGTTGGGGGGGGGGGTGGGGGGGGGGTGCGTCTCATTCACCTTTTATCTCCTTCATGTTCATGGCGTTCAGCGCGTTCCCTGCCTCACACACATTTTTGAAAAGGACAAACGCAAATCCACGCATCTTTCCATCTACGGAATGAAACAGAAACCGAAGAAAACAACCAGTCAGCCCAGGTACTTAATCAAACATGTTTGGGTGGCCTCCTGTAGGAATTAAATCCATTTTCACCTGGTTTGAGGGGAATTTTGGCCTCCAGAACGGTTCCAAACTGGGATAAAATTTGCTTCAGGTCATCCTCGGAGCACTGAAACACAAGGCCGGGTGTTACATTTCTAGCAAGGAGTGTACCGATTCAAGCAGACGTGCAACTGGAGTTCAGAAGCGTTCGGCTTACCTTAAAACTCAGGTTCCTGATGATGAGCCTGGATTTCAGCTGCGTCTTCCGGACGCCTTTGGGTTTCTGCTCATGTTCTGTCGGTGCTGCAGCAGCAGGAGGCTCTTTGGGTGCTTAGTGGGAGACATGAACGCGGTCATCCAGTAGACACGGCATGCGATCTCTCCCGGTTGCTCGTTATTGGAACATGTCGTTTGCACGTACCTTTTTTCCCTTTGTCTTTTTTCCTCTTGGCCACAGCTACAATGATCCTTCGTCCGTCGTATTCCTTCACTTCCTTCAAAGCTCGCCGTGCGTCTTCCACCATGGAATATATGACGTAGCCAAACCCACGGCATGTCTCCGTGTCTGGTTTACCAATGATAAACAACAGGTTGTTGATGTTTAGTTGTTGTTGCCGTTGTAATGCACGCCTTTAATAACGTGTATGTATACAGGCCTAAACGTTAGTCACCACGACTTAACTAGCTTAACGGAAGTAACGCCACGCGATCAAGTAAAAGGACATCACCTTTCTCTTTGACCACGAAGCATTGCTTCACCGGACCAATTTCGGAGAATATTTCCTCCAGCCGTTGATTCGTGGCCTCGGCTGGCAGGGGGCTGACGAACAGGGTCCGCTGGTGCATGGCGCCCCGCTCCATGGCTAACGTTAGCTGTTAGCTCGCTGCTAGCAGCCTGTCCGCCTCGGCTGTAGTTAACTCACGAAACCGACCAGTTAACGACCCCGTATGCGTCGTTAATACCTTAAAACTGGATATCAAACAAACTGGCCGGATGAAGACACCGCACGGGGACTGTTAAACTAGAGGATCGTGAGCTGGCAGATCAGGTCGCATGTTTACATATGCGCGCAGCCATCTTGAAAACGTGACGCCGATGTGGTTTCGAGAATAAAAACCTCTGGTAGTTTGCTCCGCCTAGTGGCCCGGATGTTGACGCATGTCCGCAGGCATCTATTGTAATTACGCATCTACACTTCCTCACTTGACCGACAAAGGCTTTAATGTCGTCCTCTACCCGACTGAGATATTTCCCCTAGGCGTGTCCCCATTTCTAGTTTTCTATTCCTTGCCCGATATGAGGATGTGTTACTCTTTATTAACCCCATGATATAAATCCCAAAGGCCTGTTTGAGGTTTTTCTTTGACCGAAGAAGCGCACGATTAAGGTCACGGTGTATAATTCTCAATTTACCCGATTTTTCAAAACTACTGCAATGCAAAACAGTAGAGGAAGGAACATGACAAATGACATACCTTATCAAAAATGAAAAATGTTGACGGGGTATTTAGTTGTTTTATTGCACAAATAAGAAATGTAACAATGTCAAATTATAACATTATCAACACGAGGTCAATAGCACACGATTCTGAGATTTCGATGCTTTATAAAAGGGGTTAAAACAATCAGATGTCGTCAGTTCATAAAAGGTTTACCACTGAGGCTTAATATACCGTCTGTGTCTTGATCAGCATTGCAAACACTCAACCAAGGTTTTTTTGGGGGGAAGAATACGATTCTTCTAGGCAGTGGTAGACCGTCAGAAATCTTCAAGTCAAGTCTCCGGAGTCATTTATATAAATATACACTACCGTTCAAAGGTTTGGGGTCACTTAAAAAGCCCTATCGGAGACTGGCCAATAAAAAGAAAAGATTGATATGGGCAAAATAACAAAGACATTGGACAGAAGAAGATTGGAGAAAAGGGTTAAGGACAGACGAATCAAAGTTTGAGGTGTTGGGCTCACACAGAAGAACATTTCAGAGACGCAGAACAAAATTAATGTTTCAAATAAAAATATCTATTTATTTATTTATTTCTAACGTTGTCAATGTCTTGACTATATTTTTTTTAAATGGAAAACACAAAGTTGTTTGGGTGACCCCAAACCTTTGAACGGTATTGCAAGTTAAGAGATTTGGCTTCGACACCGTAGAAAATAGTGCATGCATTAAGGCTACTGTAAAGAACTTTCCTACTTTTGATTTTCAACCTGTATTATAAGTCTCTTTACATATAATCATTCTGATCTTTGCGGTTACATCAACCTACAAGATACCATTTCTCCACCTCCCCTCATACTTTGCTCCTTGTTTTCAGTAATTCAAGTAAACTAAATCAGTATGACTCAGCTGTGGTGAGTTTTCTCCAGTACTTTATACTGGTTGCCCTTCAAAAAACAAGATATCTAAATTTTCCCTAAATAAAATGTCATTAAACAGACGTGTGTTAGGAGTTGCGTCACTCCAGTCGGCATATCCCAACACATCATATGCTAACATGTGGTGTAATGACATCATCTTACATTTTAGCCTTCAGTGGGTCTAAGCGGAGAGACTGAAGGAACGTGTCCAGAGAGGTCAGATACTCTTGTGGGTGTCTCTTCAGGTGACCTGCATGTGTTGAGTCCTCCCACTTCTTGGCTTTGACGTCCACCCCGCGCTTCCGCCAGTGATCAATCAGATCCTCCATAGCTTGCGAGTTGCTCATTGCGTCATTCTCGCAAAAGAAGAACAGCGCAGGGGTTGTGATGGGGTTGTTCCAAAAAGTACCAATGCTTGTGTTGTAGTAGTCCACCGTTTGGCGTTTGAACATGTTAAAGTATGACATGCTTACTTGTTTTACCAATGTCTCAAATCGAGGAAACACAGTCTTACCTAGACCTGGGCAGAGGAGAAACACACTTAATTAATTTGCACTGAAAACAACTTCACGACCACTGATAAATGTATGAATAAAATTTTCGTACAGCAAGTCAAAACAGAGCTAACCTATTGCCATCATCTCCACCGAGCCCACCACAAGGCTATCGTAGACTTGGCCTTTGATCCTCTGTGTGAGCGCCTGATACTTCTGTGTGTCCTGGGAGATGTGAACCAGCAGCTGAGTGAACGTGTAGCCGCCAATAGAGAAGGCATGGACGAGCAGCGGGCGGGACACAAAGCGTTCACTCTGGAGCAACTCCAGCAGCATCTTTCCATTATCGAGTCCCCAGCGAGGCCACACAAACTGCTGTACCTGGTAAAAAAAAAAAAAAGTTAAAAAACAACAATGGTCAGAGTTTAGTGCCGATCCGTTTACAGTTTAAAGGTCAGTGATCACAGAGGTTGCAGCTGCAAGCTTCAGGCTGTGCAGGGGGGGAAAACTGCACGGGAGCAAGAGAGGTACACATGCATGCTGACAACGAATTGGAGCAGTTGAAAGTTCAAAAGTTGTAGTTACAGTCTTGTTACCACGGATAACTTTCCTTGGCAAAAACAGCCTGGCAAATACGGTTAAGAAATCAAGACAAACGTTGCAAGCCTCGATCGATTATTGGCCCTCACCTGACTCTCTACGACGAGCACATCGTAGCCGGTGCGGAAGTAGATGTCACAGTACTTAGCCAGAGCCTGGGGACGTGATCCCAGCCAGGGCAGCATGAGCAGAACGGGTTTGTGGTCTTCGCGGACTTCGGCCCGGCATTCGGACGCCGGAGGCACCGACTCGTTGACGTAGAGAGTCACGTTCTTGGCAAGGCGGTGGGCGGTGACGCCTCTGCTCAGGAGCGCCCTGCCCAACATGGCGGCTACCGCTAGCTGCCCGACCGCCTCCACACGGTCAGGGGGGGAAGTGACAGAAACAAACAGAGGACGTGAATGAATTAAAACAACAAACAAAAAAAACACACGCATTAATTGCAGGAAGATAATTGCAGTAAGATATCGACAGTAACGTAAAGTACTACGCTAGCTCCTCTTAGGCTTTACTTAACGTTAGTTAACACGGAGCAGATGGACGTCTTTAAAGTCAGCTCAAGATGTGCATCGTCATATTAAAAGTTAAATTCGCCGATAAGAGGAGTAACTAACCTAACCATACCTGTATGTTCTACCCGGGAATGCTGGCGGTGTAACGCCGGTTTGAAAAGTGCTCGCGGCGGTAAAGGTCAGTGATTTTCCACAGAAAGTGTCCTCAACATCTCCCCTTCGCCCCGTCCGCTCCTCCTCCTCCTGCTTCGTGTGATTGGGTGGGGGAAGGGGGGGTTGGGTTCGGTCGCAACTTTCTCGGCAGAACCGCTGAGCTCCTCGGACATTAACAACGCGAACCTCGGAGGAAGGGACCCAACCTGCCTCCTCGCGCGCCCGCTGGCTGTCTTGTGGTCTCATCGAAGTGTTTTAAAGGGGTCTCGGGCCATTGTATGAACCGGTTCAATGGAATTACCCAGAAGTCATTGCAATGTTACGTTAAAAAGGGGATAAGCCGTGAAAGCGTGGAGCCGTGGGAAAAAAGTTTTTTTAAAAAGAGTAGGCCTATGGCACGTGTGTGTTTAGAATGCCTTAATAAAATGTACACATTGTACATTATTTAAAGATACATGAAATCAGATTATATTTATTTATTCATAAAATATCAAATCATTCAAGCAATTTTGACATAAACAGTGAAACATGATTTAGAATGGGATGGTGAGTGGAAATATCAATTATTGATTAAATACAAACAGTTTATTAAACAACCAACCAGAGAGGCGAACACACTGGATCCCTGCTACGCCTCAATAAGCGGGGCCTGTCCCGTGGGAACAATGACCTGTACAGAGGAGCCAAATGCAGGTTTGGCAAGTCAGTAAGAGCCGCCACTGTATTCTTGAGAAACCGCCAGCTCTCAGCGAGTGACTCTGCTTCATTCTTCAGATCATTCTTCTGGCACTGGCACGCGATGGCATATCTGTGGCCGTTGCCGGTAAATCTGTGTTAGGAATCACAACAAAAAGCTGAGTGGGTGGAGCCAAATTTCCGGAGAACGGCAATTAAATATTATCCTGCGGGCCATTCTCATTCATTTTATACAAGTTTGATTTTGCTGGTTCTGTTGAGTGAGCCACTGTGTGAGTGAGCGCCTGCCACATGATCCCTGACGATCCCCCTCGTCGACCACGCCCTCCGACCTCCGCCTGGCTAATCTGAATGAGCTGAATGAGTTCTACTGTAGATTTGAAAGACAATGGGACAGTTTTGACTCCCATCAACCAGCTCCAAACCACCATCCACCATCATCCCCATCCCCCCAAAAACCTAGGATCACAGGACTTCAGGACTATACAGACCTGTCGCCGTCACCTATGTGGTCAAAATGTCTGAACCGCTAGTCCCGTCCCACCTAAAAACCCTCACGACCCACTCCCGGACCCCCTGCAGTTTGCCTATGTCGTGCGAGGACTAGACTGGAGACTTTACTCAAAGCAATATGACAAGTTTATTTGCAACAAGAGTATTCTGTCCTGCAGTTTAACGTGCACGGACCTATTTCAGGCAGTTTAACAACAACATGAAAGAAGGCGCTTAATATAAAATGCGCTCAAATTATATAGTCTCTAAGAGCATTTTTGATTGGTTATTAAGATGGAGGCGGCTCCTGCTTAGATCCCTCGGAGAGCCCCATTGGAGCACAGGCATGTCCATCCCTCTGGGCTCTCGGATCATCACGCCTCCCGTTGTTCATGAGTTCTACATATCGGGATGTTTGCAAGATGCTCTGCAAGATGATTTGCATATGAGTGCTTGCCGCAGTTCCAGGTATGGACATGTTATTCCTAAAATGGGGAACAGGTGCTTACTGTTGAACTGCATTTGACCCAGATAGTGCTGCATCTTTTTCCAACATGTTTACGTGTGCTGGTGTTGTGCCTTGAAACACAATTTCTTCGTGCAATCCGGCCTTTAAGTGGCCTTCACCCATTATTACTATGCATTTATAGTTCAAGTGTAATTTCATTCTAGGTTAAACGAGCACTCTTAATACTCAACACCTACGGATCCAACAGGTCTATAGGTGTTGGTGTCAACATTATAAAATTGTGATTGTATAACATGAAAACTTACACTCTACGGAATATCAAAAATAAGAAACGGAAAAAGTTCAACGAGTAAAACTGGAACGCTGCAAAACAACACAAAACATAAGGTTAATTGACGTGTGAACAGAGCGGGTGAGTAGAGCGTTGATGATTCAATCCGAGGTGAGTAATTCAATTACAAAGGCGATAAAACAAGGAAAGGCCGGAAGTGAGGTAAACACGGGACACGAGTAAACAAATAAACAGGAAACGAGCTGAAACCAAAACCCCAGACTTGACGCAGGTAGCATTGAGACTAATTTGTTGTATTTGTTGATGTGGTAGGTTGGGTAGCCTCCCAACCCTAAAAAAAAGTGCATTTATAATAACATTTGGAATAACACAAAGATTACAGTTTGACTTAGCTTGTTTTTCACCCTCTTCTTTGCTTGTCGTTTCTGTGTCTTGCCCTGACTTCCCTCGGTCGCAGCTGGACACCAATCCCTGCTGACTTTGTCTTGTTGGGGGATGACTTGTCTAAACAGAAAGCCGTCCAATGAATTAGGACAGCAAGTGTGAGGCGGTAATAATTTGGCCATGTCCCTCACTGAGCTCATATGTTTGGCCTGTCATTGTTCCTATCCAGTCCCTTTAGTCACGGTTGGGTACGTGCTTTCCTGTGTCCTCATCAGCCGGTTGATCACGCCCCTCGGGAAGTTCCTATCTTCATCATGGAATGACCATCTATCAAAGGCCTCACTGCCTTTCGATTCCTTTGTTATCCCAACCCTATGTTTGCAGTTGCAAAATTAAAATCTTCATCGTTGGCCGTGTTGTTCAGGGTCACAGCCAACTAGGCATGGAGAATTCACCTTTATGGCTTTGTGAAAAATATATGTTCATAAAAAAAAGAATGGCAGAAGATTTAATGCGCCGTTGGCAGAATGCCAGAGTAACAATACTCATTTGTATTGCTAGTTCAACCATGGTCAGTGGTGGACTTTTCACTTTGCAAACTCAACCCTGAAGAGACGGCACAGATGTGTAACTGTGCTTTATCCCTCTCACTCTCCCTGCCTCCAAAGGCATGTGGATCAGTGTCTATTCTCAGAACCACCCTTGGGACTTCAATTAGGCGTCGAGGCTGCTGGATTTCCCCTTCTGTGTGGAAACTCCACACACAAGCGAGAAAATAAAGAAAGTTAGTAACATGGTATCATCAGAGGCAGATCATGTAGTGAAATGCTTTTCCCACATTAATGGCATGGCAATAAGGTCACAAGTGGTAATCACAGTATTCAGGTCAGCGCATCCTCTTGGTTAGGAGGTGCTGCGTGATCAGATCATGTACACACACGTAACCACTATCATGCAAAATGCATGTCTGCCATTCAAAGAGAATTTTCTCCTTCGTATACTGTTTGTGACAACAACTGAGTAACGGCCACTTAAAAAGAAAGGGCACTGCATCAGTTGTCAATTGAAGTCGACAGCGCGTATCGATCTGCGGCACTGGGTGGCTCAAGGCACACGCTGATGGTTGACAACTATGCTTTAGCCCCTATGACTATATTCATGCCCTTTTCCCTACCTTCTCTTCTCTCCCCTGCTCTCCTCTCCTACTCCCACAGCCTCACACACAGTTCACAACATAACCAGCAGTAAGAGATGATGCTCTGTGTGTGTGTGTGTGTGTGTGTATGATGCCTCACATTTAGGGCAACAGAATAGCGCAAACAATCAAACTGACTGTCGGATCAGTGCAGCAGCAGCAGCAGAGAGTGGGACAGCGGGGTTGTCCCCGGGGAGGTGGGGTCCGTCCCATGTGTCGACTGATGGAGAGAAGAGGGGCACAGCACAGTGAGTTTGATGGGACACACAGTGCTACGCGGAGAGAGAGAGAGAGAGAGAGAGAGAGAGAGAGACTGCAGTCAGGCAGCGACACGAAGGAGCATACATGTTTAAAGAGGCTGCAGCAGAGTGGGCTAATGATGAGGTAAGAAAGCAGAACTGGGAGCATCTAGAAAAAAGCAAGCGTGTGTTTAATGTCTTTTATCGTGCTGTTATAACAAAGGAACATTTGCACCCTGGCTCGTGGAATGAGTGTATTTTATAGGACTTTGTAGGTGAAAGGAAAAAAGGTTTTGAATGCTTTCATATTTTCATTTTAGTGCTTGACCTATATGCAGAAATTCAAATTATTTATTGCAAATATCCTAGCAATGCATAATGTTTGACGAGTTGTTGCACAGACAGCTGTGTGATGGATGCGATTCACCTTCTTTTGCTCACCCAGGTGTGTCAAGCAAGAGATCAGCGAGATGACCGAGGTTAAAGATCTGTCAACCCGTCGAGCTTGGGACTGGACAATACCCCTCAAAACCATCAGCATGTGACTTTTTGGAGGAGTTTATAGAGCCTCGCCATGCACTCTCTGTGGAATCTCTGTCTGCTTCTCCTCCTCTCCTTTCCGCTCTCACTTCATGTCGCAGCCTTCAACGAAGTACATGTCAGGGATGCACAACAGCCAGACGACAACACGGAAGCGCGGCGTCGCACACCTCCACCACCGAGACCACATGGCTCTGGCTTAGCACCGAGCAATCCAATGTCTGGGACGAAATATGTTGACTTCCCGGGTCTGCCTCTGAGCTGGCCGCTTTCGTCATCTGAGGAATCCGATAGAAAAGGTGCAATGGATGAAGACATTGCTTTCGAGGAGAGCACAGAGACCTCTCGTTTGTATCATAATGAGAAGGGGCTTATCATATCCAGACTTTCTGATACAAAGGATGAGACATCCAAGGAGAGCGCACAACCAACGAGGTCTTCATCAGGAGGAGCACCACCTCGCTCCACCCAGGGACAAACATTAAAGTACAAACCAGCTGAGACAAAAGTATCCATATTTGAGTCCGACCAGTCAGAAGAGAATCAGCCAACTTCCCCACCCTCTCCGGATAAGGCGGCCGCCGGACCGCCTGCTTCTCTTCCGCCCGGCTCACTTCTAACAGTTCCGGAATCCACTCCGCCGCCGTACGCCGGAGCCCGTCCCGACCCCGAGCACCCCACTCCACCAGTAGCCGTATGGGGACGGACCACTGGACCCTCCGTTGTCATGCAGGACGGTGCACAGGGCGGGACAGTCCCAGTGAAAGGGACCAGAGAAGAATTGATTGATATTATGGGTAATAACCCGGGCATGAAGGCAGACAATGGTAAGCCATTAATTAAGTTGCATTCATTTGCTAGTATCCATCGTTAATTAGCTCCTGCCACAAATCACAGGTAACACCTGTCACTTATGGGCTGCATTGAATCATAGGCTCTATGGTGTTGACCTCATTAAATAGCAAAAATAGAATCTAAAAGACTCTTAAGTCTATGTGGGACTGCAGTATTTCAAATTGCACTCATAAGTGTCAACACAATCCCCCTGCCCCTTTCCCAACTAAGTCCACTTCTAAGTCCACTATCTTGTTGATGTTGCAACATTGTATTCATTACATTACATGTCATTTAACTGACACTTTTATCCAAAGCGACTTACAATATTCAGTCAGTGTGTACGACCCACGCGCAAAGGTGGGTGGATAATGTGGTGCATACCCACACATTCAGTGTTTACTGCACACACACACACACACTTGTCAAAGTAAATGGTGTGTTGTGTCCACAAGCAAAGAGGGAGGAGGGCTTTGGACATTGGTCTGTGAGAACATACTCTTCCTCAGGTTGGCTACGCATTTGCAATTTCGTTGAGTAAATCCCTCCAGTAGTAGTGGACAATCTGAAATGTGCACCTTTGGACACGTTACCTGAGCTTGGTGGCACACAGCTTACTCTGAACCTTATTTTACCAAGGGAATGAGATGCTTACATGGTTGGTTACAGAGATGGTTACACAATCCTAGTCAGATGTGACATTTGATACATGTATTGCAAATATGTTGTATCCTTTCTTGTAGAAAGAATGCAACATATTAACGCCTCTAGACTGTGCTTAATAATAGCCACGCAGAATGAGAGCAACGACGAGGTCAATACTGGCTAATCAACACACATTTTTTCTCTCCACTACTTTCTCACTCTCACTGTGACCCAGTTAGAGGTTCCCAGTTACGAGCCTCTGTTATATTATGGATTAACTTCACACATGGCAAATACTCACCAACTCTATACTTTGCGTATAATTCACTTCATCATCACCAGTAGTGGAATCAACGCACATCATGACATTATGTTTCAAAGGATAAGCATGTTCATCCTATTATATGAATGTGTTGCCGTACTCCCCCCATGTTTACAATTAAAAGGTTCAAGTTCATTGTAAGTGTTCAGCCTTGGCACACAATACGTTGGTAATACTTTTATAATTTATCTTGCTTGATTTTTCAGATGACTCCAAGGAGAATGGCGTGCTTCTTCCAAAGACCAGTGACACGCTCTTGCGTGACGGCGGCACAGACACACCTGCCACACCCTGCAAAACATCAGACCAGTCCTGGACACCCACCTACCCAGAGGACTTTACCCCCACCGAGTCGCCGCGCCCCGATCTGACCCTGGGCTCTGCCCTTTCCATCCCTCTGTATTCGGACTGGAACTCTGCCCTCGCCACGTGGGGATTTGCATGGGAAGCACACGTCTACGGCCTGGGTTCTGTTTTTTCTGTATTCGGCCTAATCTCTGTGGTTTGTCTGTTAGGGTTGCCCCTGCGCTGTCCCGCGGGAAGCCCCTACTTCTTCCTGCTGCACTTGTTTCTTTTAGCGTTCGAAGGGATTCAAGCTTTTTGTTTGCTCTATGATGCTTATAATCACCAAGATCGTCTCCCCCCTCTGGGCTCTCTGCTGCTCTCTGAGCTTTCCTTTCCCTGCTTGATTTCAGCCTTCTCCCTTGCCTTCATCCTGCTTTCCCTGCGCTCACGTATGCATCTTTCATTCCCACTTGCTAATTCCACCTCGTTTTCAGCCTTTCCCAAGCCATGCCTGCTACTGTGTATGTCCATGCTGTATTCTGGGGTGTCCCTAGGCTGTGTTGGCCTGCTCCAGCTCTTCCCCAGCCTCCCCTCGGTGATCCTGCTATTCCCTCAGGGTGGGTTTGTATGTCTCACCATATTCCTCTCAAGCTCCTACCTTGTATTCTACTGCTTTATGCAATTCAACACGAAGCACCTGTACCGGCTGAATGACACTGGAGAGAGCGGAGGATCTCCTGAAGATGTGCCATCTTCACGTTACCCCTTTTCCAAAGTGGAGGACTGGGGTAGGGCAGCAGGAGCTGGATTAGGGGCTTCCTTGTGTTTGTTAGGGTGTGGAGGCCTCCAGTTTTATGGGATCTTGCATGCCCTCGGTTTGGGTGGGGTTGATAGCTACGGTTTCCAGCCCTGGCCCTGGTGGGGTTACCAGGTAGGCTGCAGGCTCTGTGAGATTGGGGTGTGTCTAGGTTTGTCTCTCATTGGTTCACACCCTCTATTCTGCCAAAACAACTCTTCTACCGAGTCCTTAACTAACCCCCGGCCAGGATCTTGGTCCCGTCTCTCGTGCGGCTCCCATTCACGAGGGCTCATCAAGCCCTCTCAGGGATGTGCAGATTCTCCTGTCGTCTCCTCTCGTGATTCTGGATTCAGGCTGGTGGCCTGTGATGTCATAACAAAGGAACAGTCAGAGGACCTTCCCCTTTTCCCAATGGCGGATCATCCTCGGAATAGGCTTGTCCCCAATTCCAGCCAAACCCAGAGCACTGCTTTCCTTACACCCCCAAACCCACGGTCCAAGCCTAACAACGCAGTTGAGTCTCAGCTATCGTCACTGGATAGCCTGAGAATGGAGACGGACTCAACTGCGGATCTGCGGCCCCCATCTCTCATAGACCTGTCCCGTAGCATTGACCAGGCTCTGTTCAGCGAATCCCTATTCTCTCACAGTATCTTTGGTTTGCCGAGACTCTTTCATGCTTCTTCCAGCCTCTCTTTGAGCTCTCCGAGCCAGGGTGAATCACAGCAAGGGCCCAGCTCTATGCAAAATGCATTATACCGAACCAACTCCTGTGGTGACATGGAACAAGACAACGGCCTGTCCACTTCAAGACCTTCTAAACCAAACAGCTCGTTGACATCTCAAGGCAAGTCACCGGTGTCACCGGAGCAATGGAATTGGAAGGAGAGCGTCTCTGGTTCGACACAAGGCCTTTGCAGCAAACCCAAGGAGACGGGGAAGTGCCGCTCACTTTCCTGGGCCAATAGAGGTCAAAACTTTGCTGAGAGCAGCCTCCCCAGAGCAATCCCCCACCTGTCATACCACCGGCGTTACAGAACCCTGAGCTTGGCCTCTCGGGACGGTTGCGGATCTGGCCGCCTGGCCGGTACTAAACATCTGAGTGAGAGCAAACAGCTGGAATGGGATCTGGCCGTGCAAGCGGAGTTTGTCAACGTGTGCAGACAAATTGACGCTCTGAGTGTTTGCAGTGACACCATTGAATTGTAGAAAGTTATACATGTTCATGTCATGATTAAAATTCACGTTACGTTGTACTGAAACAATACTCCAATCAGGTTAGATGCATCATAAAAGTTATACACATGTATGTTATAACCTTAACTTATAAAATAAATGAACATTACTGATATTATTGATACAATATGGAGATGTAAATTATTTTCCATGATTATTTCACAGTTTATATTATGTATGTTGAAAACTTTATTTGCAAATGCTGTCTTCAGTTCATCTCAGTTTTAATATGTATACAACTTACAGTACATGTTGAACTTTTGACATTTTAACTGTATACAGAAATTGAAAGGGACGTTTAGTTAATAGAGGGCCATATTTCATAGTAAAATAATAATACAATAACTTTGTACTATTGATGTACTTTTGTGTTTTCAATAGGAGAAAATGTTGCTCAGAAGGATGAGTTATTGTATCACTTGTGATTGGATGGACACAATCTTCTGAAAAATGAATTCAGCAAAGGGAGCTCTGTGAGCTCAAAGGGAGCTCTGTGATGCTGAAGTACAACATTTTGCAACAACTTATCAGCACCTCGCCTACAAAGCCTACAAACATACTTCATCATGGGAACTACAGGCGTTTTGGTATATATGTATAAGATTATTATAGAGTATTTCAGTGTGGTGTAATAAACTTAAGACATAAGACCAGGATGATTTTTTTTTACCGCCTCCTCAGTCAACCATCTAAGGGGTATTCTGGGAATGTTAGTACTACAATCAAAGTTGCAATAATCCTACACTTTTGAAAGTGGCTTTGATAATATATATATATATAAATATATTTACCACTTCAAGGGAAGATAAGAAAAACAAAAGTTTCACTTCATATAATTAAACAGAAATGCATCAAAACGCCGTTGCCAAAAATGATCTTTATTTGTGCAACACTATTAACATAGACATAATTTTAAAACCGGTGAGAAAGTAGTTATATCTTATCTGTAACCTTTAATTAAGAAACTATTACCAGACTGTCAAACCATTGATCAACCCTAACATGATCAACCACTACATGAGCTCAGTTATTTGATTGGATGTTATTACAAAATTAAAATAAACTGTGTATTGTTATACCAAAGATGGTGAGTAACACAAAAGAAAAAAGAAAAACATATTTAAAACGTATCAATCAACTTGAAACAACTTTTTGTCTACAACTCCATAAAGAAAGAAATCTATCCAGGACAATTGTTTTGTTACAACAGTTCCCCACTGAGTGTGCTTTATTTAATTCACTCACAATTTAATTATTTTAATAACCAACCTGAAAAAATACAATAACCGCCTTTATTATATATTACATACAATCAATAGCTATAATGTTAGTTAATACTGTGTTTATGTTTTATGAAGAATGGATGATCCCAACATGTCAAGCCAATGTGACTTAGACGTATTTGCAGTATGAAGCCAAAATGAGGATAATGTACCTGTATGTTATTATAATCAGAAAGATGTGTACAGTCTTCTTTAATTTTTCTCTTTTTAAACATTTTTTTCGGAATTAAAATGTTAAATATTTAACAGTTATGTGTCATTTGTTGCTGAAAAAGCATTTGACCGCTTGATGCCGTCCTTACGTTTTTGCGCGCTGAGCTGCACATACGATAATAAACTTCTGCAAGCTTTGTTGTTTATTGTCGCCTCAATCAGGGTGAAACTCAGGCCAACCACGGAAAAGGCCTCCTGTTAGATCAGCAATGATAAGCTAGTCCTAAAGAAGAAACATCCGTTTGCTTGTTGAAAGGGATCAAGTAATTACATCACCTCCACTGCAGCTCGGCCACAGCAACAACAGATAACGATAAGGTGTGTGGCTGCATGTGAGGTTTGAACTTTAGACTCAATGCTTTGCTTTGTCTGTCACAGATGGGAGAGAAAGAAAAAGAAAGGGGGGAGAGCGCAGGAAAAGCAGCCTGAGGTTTTAGAACAGCTGTTCCGTTTGTCGTTTGATCACATGCGCCCTGTGCAAGTGCTCATGGCTGCCGGGGTCGGGATGTTCGGTCCCGCTCGGGTGCTTCCTCTTCCTCCTGCCTCAGTAAAGTCGTTTCTCGTAACTAAGCATGAAAAAAGAAATGGAAGAGTGCAAGCGTATACTAGGTTGAGATAATATTTGCCTGGCGTGAAAGCAATATTAAACGAAAAAAGAAGATGGGGGGTGTGATAACAACATGGTTGTACTTACATGGCACAAAAGAATATCTATTGTGACAGCGTGGGTAAGAAAAGAGGAAGAGAGAAGACACATTTTGATGCTGCTAAGCAAAAATCAATTTCATTTTAAAGATTTCTGACAAATGTTTCTGTATATGTGGACATTCAGAGAGGAAGCAGCTGATAACCGATGACTTTAACAGCAGACAGGGAACCACAGAAAAGAGACACACGGAGAAAGAAGGCGTTGCAGAGGATCAGGGGTCACAGGTCGGACTTACGAGTGGAGGCCGTGGACCCCTCCCTCCATCTGAGCAGACATGGTTCTCTTCTCAAACTTCAGCTCTCCAGAGTACATCATCGATCTGGAGCAAAGACACAGCTCATATTTAAAGTCCCTTACACGGTACACACACGCGCGCACGCCATCCCACACTTACCGTAGAATGGATAAACTCTTGGCTCCTATGTCCTGACAGCCATGTTGGATGCCAGCAATCAGGTAGGGAACAAACTTATGTATGGAGCCTTTATCTTGCACTGACCCCGAGACACCTTGAGCGACCTTCAGCTTATCTCCCTCACTGTATACACAAACACAATTCAATACAGGGTAATATATTAAGGTGTCATTGTGGCCATCTATGACCCCAACCCCTCACCTGAAGTAACGTTTCTGACTGTTATTTTTCTCCATGGCATCCAAGGAGCCCATCCCCCTGTACTTTTTCAGACGTACACCATCTGAGAAGAAATACTCTCCTGGGGCTTCAGTGGTTGCCGCGAGCAACGACCCCATCATCACTAAGGGCAGAAATATAGGGCGCCGTTTTGTGTATTGCTAAGGACAACAGGCAAGGTCAAACGAGTGCCCAAGGACCTCGAATGCTCTCTTAATGACGCAAAGAGTGGCACACACAGGATGAAAGGATGTGCACCTACCAGTTGATGCTCCCAGGGCCAGAGCCTTCACCACATGTCCAACTGTCTGAATGCCTCCATCAGCAATCACTGGTACTCCAAAACGTCGCGCATACTCTGCAACCTTGTACACGGATGTACCTTGGGGCCGTCCACATGCCATCACTGAGGGACAGGAGCGTGAACTCGTATCACAAACTCGTTTTAGTTTCATCGGTGTTTATTTTAAACCCACTGTTTGTTTACAGGACTGCACTTTTCAACATACCTTCCTGGGTGATACAGATAGAGCCACAGCCCATGCCCACCCTCAGGGCATCCACCCCAGCGTCTATGAGGTTTTTGGCCTGAGCAGCTGTCACCACTAGAGGGGGACAGAGATACGGATAAGAGCTATGCAAGGTAATACAGTAAAAGGTACAAATGCAGAAGCACAAGAGGAGAGCTTACCATTTCCTCCAACTACCTGTAGTTCTGGATATTTCTGTTTGATGTAGTTTATCATATTAATTTGGTACACTGAGTTTCCTTGGGAGGAATCCTGTTGAAATTAAGACAGTTTCAATAAGAGATGAAACAACTGTATCTCTTAATCAAAAAAAACAATAGATAGCTGACTTAGGAAAGCTCAATTTAATAAAACCATCAAGAAACCCCCAAAAGCTTCTAGCAGGTCATATCGCAAATAAACCAAAAGCTCAGTCTGACCCCCAGACGAAACCTACCAAGACCACCACATCCACCCCAGCCTGCATGAGAAGGTCCAGCCTGTACTTGTCGTCCTCCCTTGTACCGATTGCAGCTCCGCACAGCAACTGTTTGCGGGAATCCTTGGAGGCCAGAGGATAATCTCTGTTCTTCTTCAAGTCAGTCCTCGCTATGATGGCGACCAGCTCATCGCTGTCATTCACTATGGGGAGCTTTCCTAGAAGAGACAGAGAGTGTTAAAAGAAAGACAAAAGCGCCGGCGTCTGTCCAAGTTCTGGTCAGTTGTGTTTACCGTAGAGTGACACACATCACAGATTTACCTTTTTTGCTACGTTGCAGAATATCGTTAGCCTCTTTTAGTGTGACTCCAGCGGGTGCAACAACTAAATCTTCTCTTTTTGTCATTGCCTGAATGAAAACAGTCCAGAGCGTGTATATTAATATACCGCCCATTCATTTAACACCATACTGTAGTGAATGTGAGATTGATATATAGATATACATATATATCTATACATACGTATATTTAGTGTTCTCACACATGCACACATGAACACAATAGCTATATATATATATATACACCTCCTCCAGAGGTCTGTCGTGGTCCTTCTCAGACAGAAAGTCTATGTCTCTGGAGGTGACAATGCCGACCAGCTTGCTGCCCATCCTGCCAGTCTCTGTTACGGGGATCCCAGAGAAACCATGGCGCGTCTTTGCCTCAAACACGTCCCCCACTGTGTGTCGGGGACTCATCACCACCGGATCTGTAATAAAGCCCTGCTCAAATTTCTTGCACGAACAAAAGAAACGTACAAAAAAGTGTACAATGATTAGAGGCCATTCTGTGTATACTGTTTCCATGTTATTGTGAAAGAGGGTGATACAGTGTCACCGTTGACGTTTTTAAGTCAACTTTAGGTTGTGAACTTGGTCCGTCTTACCTTGACTTTGCGCACCTCGTTGGCCTGGAACTCAGCAGTACAGTTGTGATGAATTATTCCAATCCCACCCATCAACTGAGAGTCAATCAGAGACACCAGAGGAAATAATTAACCGATGAGATAACACTGAAAAGTTATCCAGGTGCGATCAGTGTGCTTGTGCACTTGAAGCAGGATGACGATAAACTTAGTCAGCAATCTGTTGTGGTTTGTGCTGCAGGGCTTTGACTCACCGCCATGGAGATGGCCATGAATGACTCTGTGACTGTATCCATGGGAGATGAAATAAGAGGTGTCTTCAGGGTTATCTTCCTCGTCAACGCAGAGGTTAGATCCTAAAAATTGGAGTGCATAAACAGAAATTATTTTATGATCTTAAAATACATGCTAACACTAAATCTGACATACTGATGACATGGTTTTCTACAAACATCGTCCCACCCAGTGTTGCAGCGGCAACACATTTCTTAACCAAATCTTAAGGCTGTTTTTTAGTTTGCATCAAATTAAACTGCAACCAGTTTGGGCAGAATTAAAGGTTGACTTCACCTGCTGAGTGTTGGATGATGCAAGTGTATGTCTGTTTTGAACACCTGCTATCTAGCAACAACCCACGTGACTCAGGCATGACATTAATATAATGTCCCAGAAGAGCTTGCAAAGACAAAAACGAAGCAAGCCAAACAAAAGAACCTTGTGCTCGATGGAACATAATACAGAGTTAGGGAGGAATTACAAGGGTTAATGCACAAGTCTGTGCAAGTAAATGATCTATTCATTTTTTACTTAAACCTTTATTTAAACAGGAAAGTCCCATTGAGATTAAAAATATGTTTTTCAAGGGTTTGCAAAGACAGCATCATAGAAACACAGCAAACACAGAATAAGACAAAGACAAGAGACTTCATTTTAGATTTAAAAGCAGTGAGTGGTATCAATTCTTTAAGTTTTACATCTTTCTGCAACATATTCCACAATGAGAACACATGGAGTATTGTCCGACACGTTTCTGCATGATGACGTTTATATTTGTCCAAACAACATTAAAAATAAATATTGTAAACCAGCGAAAAGTATACAGTTTGTGGATTGAGATATGTTGAATAGTTTAATGGTACTTACCACCTCATCAGAAGTAAAATCTATGAAACCAGGGAGGATCAAGAAGTCACTAAGAAGGGAAATTTTGGAAGAAGACACATTTTGGAACTGAGACCAATAGACATGTCTGCACGAATAATCAATACGACTCGTAACAATCACCATAAACAAGGATTAAGCAGCTTTGGTTGTGTTTGTGAATTGTACAGCGCAAATCATATTCCTGCGAAGCAGCAGTTTAAACTTTGCTGACAGTGAGCAGACATAATCTGTCAGCCTTTCAGCCCATTTATCCTCTGCACTCTGGTACGCGCTGCATATCGCCTCCATTAAGGGGCCTACACCGACACTCATTAACACGCCGATACGTGCACAAACTCTCACACACTGCTTTTAATGCCTGTGACCCCACTCGGAGTCATACTTGAAAGTAGAATTACTCATTTTAATCCTCCGTATGAAAAACCCAAGCAGATGTGTCCGCATTTAATGGAAGACATTGCATAACGTGTGTTTCTATACATGTACGCCTGCGCTGGCGTGTTAAGCGTGTCACACGATGACATGTGCCAGTCGCTGTTTGTTTTCGAGTGGTGTTTAGCATATATCTTACTTGTATGTTAGTCCATCACCGACAGAAAAGAGTTGTTGTGCTGTTAATCCATCTTCAGGAACGTAACCCGTGCCTCCACTGATCAAGTAGTCTGCCATGCTAAAATAGAAAAACGCACACAATATTTAACTGAAGATACAAATTGTTCCTACATATAATCATACAAAAGCAAATGCACGTTTATTTAGTCTGGAAATGTTTACCCCTTGTCAAAGACGTGCATGTTGTCTCTTTCTTGACCTCTGTTTGTTACACACATGCTGCAGATCCTATTACAAATGTTGGAGCGTAGACAGGAAGTGCTAACAAAAGCAATCCGGTCTTGTCTTTGGATATACTTTCCATACACAAGCAGGTAAGAGGATTGGCCTTTAACAGGCCAACCCTGCACACAACCACCTCTGCTAAAAAGCGCAAACGTTCCAAATGCTGCTTGAGATACTAATTGTGAAGCCAGAGAAGTCAGAGAAGGGTCGCGACCTCCCAGCATGTGCAGTGAGCAGGCGCGTGGACTGACCTCTCTGGTTCATATCCAGCTTGGATGCGCGTTGCGCTGTATCGCTGGGCTGCAGTCTCGTGCCCATGTCCGTGCGGCGCCGAGGGGCCGCAGGGTTGAGCCGGTTCCCCGTCCCTGTTTGCGGCGCGCTGCCGAGCCGGTTCCATGTCCCCTACGATCCGCCGGTAGTCGATTTGGTAAGTGTCCTTTTCCCCATCTCCAAACTGGTCGTAACCATGACCCTCCATCTCTAAGAAATCCAGGACCACGACCTCCACAGGGCCCCACCACCGTGCTAAGACACACACACACACACACACTGTTCAAGCACTTCTTATCACACTCTTACACACTCTCACACAACAAACACTCCCCGCAGGTTTCACGCACAGCAACAAATTGCTCTCCAGTTATGAGCCCTAATAAACACCCAAGACTTTGAGTGCATCTTCACCCAAACGCCTTTCAGACACACCTGACATCGAATGGAAGCCGCCTTGCCATCTGTTCTGTGGCCGGAGCGGCAGTTTAACCCGAAACACACTTGATCTCACATACTAATTAAAAATGTTTTCAAACAGTTAAAAACTGTGTTGTTTGTCTTAAGAGTTTGCATTCCAGTTTGTCAGCTCAAACCTCTGGAGTTTGAAGCCAGTTTTTTCCCCACGCACAGTTTCCAGCTAACCTGTTGACGTAGTCGACTATCTCGGCACACCAAATTTAGAAATCCACGACAACCCCCAGCTGGAGGCATGAGACGCCGCCGGAGAGGACGCTCTGGGTCTTTCTCAGGTGGCACCAGATCCGTCTCTCCTGGGGGCCCAGAAAGCTGTGGCGCTTGGTTATCCGTGTAGCTTCTCTCCACGCTCCGCTCTCCCAGTGCCTGCCGAGCTTAACAGCGTTTCCGACAGTAGCAGACGTCACTCTCCCACAAAGAGGATTGGGAGCGTTAATACAGCGGGGTGGGGTGAGACGGGTGAGTGGGCTGGAGCGGGGCAGTAGGACGGCGGAAGGGAAGGATCCCACTTGAACATACTTTTCCCTGAGAGGATTTACCAAAGTGTAGACGTGGGACGAAGCTCAAGGAGACAGAGAAGTAAAGGAGACAAAGGTCAAATGCTATTAGGGCAGACGGGCAGAAACAGAGACAAATACAAGTGTCTGTGTGCGCAGGAGGTAAAGGTGTTGAATCTTCAGACTGAGGTTCACCTCACAATGACTGTTATATTTGACCAGTCAAAAAACAAATGTTTGTCTATTTCCGTTCAGTGTGTGACCCAGTATTCACCGGAACAACAGAGTGAGACAGGAGAGCATCTTTGCTGATGGGATGCACTCGACACCATCATCTGCAGGTGACTGACTGACTGCTTGTGACAGTTACTGAGGGATTGAACCAGGAAAGCCTCTTACCCACTCTCTCTCTCTCTCTCTCTCTCTCTCTCTCCCTCCGTCTCTCTCTCTGCCTGTCTGTCTCCCACTGGAGGAAACAAGGAACACCCCCTCTACACAATAATAATGGCATGGTAATTTAACCACACGTCCTTCATAACAGCCAGGGAAGATACATTGTGAAAAAATATGTCCATTAGGAAAATATGTTTTTATGAAGTGAAATAGGTCTTTATTTGTTTGGTTGGTTGGGACAGTTCATATAGAGTAGCGTCTTGTATCTGACAATAGTACAACATGAGAACAGGAAACAGAAAATCAAATATCTGAAAATAAACACTGTAAAACAGAAAATTACAACACATACAAGATATATATTCACCACCACAAATCCTATGATTTCATCTTGAATTGAAAATCAGGAAAGCTGCAACCCTCTTATATAATTTTTCCCCCTATGATCTATGAAGGCTTATCTGCCAAACTCATTAGATTGTTGGTCATCATAGCTCCTTATTATCTGTGACATGAAACATTTCTCCCATGATTATGAATACTACACTATCATCATCATCAAGTGTAGAAAAAACAAGTATATATAACGTTAATCAAATTAATAAAATACATATTGTCTCAAGTGTAGAATGAGGCGCGAGGAAAGTCTTTGATACCTGTAGAAAAGCTCTGTTTCTTGAGAATTAGCCGCCTGATTGAAAAGAAAGGGAGATTTAAAAATGAGATTTAACAATTCATAACTTATCGTCACTTTAGCAGCAGGAAATCCTACCGGGCCTCTACACTAGTTCGGGATGAAGCTGTGCGAGAGCGTCGTAGAAGGCTGCTTTGACCTTGTCTCCTCCTGAATGTAACGAGCTGTAAAGCTTTCTCATCCTTATGTAGCTTGTTTCTGCAGCAGCCATCGATGCGCGGGCTTCGTCGTGGACCATTTCTCCAAGCAGATCTGTTATTTCCATTACCTTGGTAACGTTTCTAATCAGATTTGGCCTGTACTCGTCAACGAACTTCACTGTTTTGAAATACAAAAGAAACAAAGAAAGCATGCTCATAAAATGCATTACAATTGTTAATGAGACTCATGTCAATATCACGCTCATTTCAGAACTTTTTGTTTACGCAAAGAGAAAAAATTGCATCACTACAGTGACAAAAGTATTCACCTTTATCTGGGCAACTCATTTCTCGAGTAGAAACCTTGATGGGATCCCTGATCTAAAAATAAAAAGCTCTGTAAGTCAATATTGCTTTAAAAATGTTGATATACCACAAAGTAGTTTCAGAATTCCAGTGATAATAAACTTTCCAATTTCATCAAAACATAATTTATTTAAAATATACAGCTGTATTGGAGACCGTACTTTGAAATCGACCTCATCATTTGACTCTGTCCGTTCGATAAAAGGTTTTTTTTTCCCTCTCGTGCTTAGTTGATTACTGGTGGTTGCCTTTTGAAGAAAAACAGAGAAAACATGATCTATTAGAGAAATCAATGAACACGTTGGTATTCCTTGCTAAATATGAATCATGATTAATCTGCACGATATTTCATTTTCTGAAACAAATGTTGTACCACTCCTCTGAAGGCTTTTTCGACTTGACAGACCGCATCAGGAATTCCATCCCTGTTCTGTGAAAACACCGCCTCAGTGGTTTCAAGGGAATCTGAAACAGAATTTACTATTCATTTCTAAAAATGTATCCGTCCAGCTCGCCTTCAAAAGATTTAAGCGTATTGTTCAGACAATATATTATATGGCGATAGTGATGGACATTTACCTTTAAATTTGGGCCTCTTGGAGGGGTCGTTATCCCAGCACTGCTCCATGAGATTCACCAGCTCGTTCCACCCTTCTTTGTCAATTTTCTTAGGGGTGGGAGGTCTTTGCCCGCCACGGACACTTTCGATCACAAGCTCAGGATTATTGCCTACATTGCGTGTCATGCGATAAGAACACAGGGTCACGTGTAAACATAGCTGACTGAGGGAACGAGACATGTACAGTTTATACGGGGCTTATTTTAGCTGAATATTATGAGGAAAATAAATGCTATCATGGTATTTCATAGCATAAGAGATTGAAAAGCTAAATGGGGGGGTATTGGGACAATAAAACTACCTACATGGATAAGGCTCTTTGCCACTGAGGATGGACCAGAGCAGGATACCGTAGCTAATCCAGAGAGAGGAAGACATCTTCAGTAACATGTTAACACTGTTAAAAGTTTTTACCATATAGAGTAAAATCATTTGTGGATGTAATGTCTAACCTGTAGATGTCGAAAGCCCGGACAGGATGGTACGATGAATCAAAAGCCTCAGGAGGCATGTACTTGTAGGTACCTTGGAGGTAGCCTGTTTTTTCTTCGGTGGGCATGCAACTGGTGGACATGCAACTGGTGGACACTCTGGACAGACCAAAGTCTGCTAGCTGGAGAGAACGAAGGTCAATGCAACATCAAACAAACCGTTAAATCAGCCTTAAAGTTGACCTGAACATAAGGTGTACTCTACCTTGGCGTTAAAATGATCATCCAGCAGTACGTTACATGGCTTTAGGTCTCCATGCATGAGGTCCTGTTGATGGAGGAAGTTCATGCCTACAGCCACTTGATGGGCCAAGCGGCAGACCAGAGGCCACAGTAGAGGGTCATGGAGCTTATCAAACAGGGACTGAAGAGATCCTCTTTCCATGAACGCCATCACTAGTCCCTCTTGCATGGGTTCCCCCCCTCGTCTCCGTTGCACGGGGTCTCCTTCAATAGGCGGAAATCCCTTATAGGTTCCATAAAGTCGCAGCACACAGTCACAGGAGGCCCTAGTCATGACCTCAGCCTCAATCCACAGAGACGCGGAGGGGCTGCAATGAGACAGGGGATTGTTGATATAAGTAGAGAGAAAGCAGAAGGCCGTGAAATACAACATGCGCATGACTTCATCAATATATCATTTAAAGTCAGAGGAATATTGTAGATATTTCTACATTTACCAAACACCCCTATGAAGTAACTTAATGGCCACATCAAAGCCCCAGTCCTTGTGCCTGGCCTTGTAGACGTCACCAAATCCTCCAGAGCCAATATTCTCCCAATCCTGCAAGATTTCGTCACCAAGTGGCTCGTTGGGCTTCTGGCTCGGCAGCGCCATCTCCTGCTGGATGCAGGTACAACGGGCTCAAATCTATTAAAAATAAAAAAGGATTATGATAAATCCTGATAAATATAAATCAGGTGGTTCAACGACTGCCTAACTATCTGTTTTATACACAATGTTCAAATGATTGTACAACTTTTTTACAGCTTTTGTGTAAAAAAAAAATGTAAAAAACAAAACACAGAAAAACAAGTTAGACTCTGCTTCAATATGGGCTTCGTTGTGCAGACGTAACAGCTGGCTTCTACTCACGTCTCTCGGTGACAGTTGCCCAATGCAGCTTAAGGAGTCACTTCACACCAAAGCTGCTTCAAAGCTGCTGCGAGTTTCAGTTTCCGTTCGCTGCTTCGTAAAAGGGAGGAGAGCAGCCAGAAGAACTTCTATCGGCTCGGTGTCGGTGTTTTGTGGCCACGGCGTATATGAAATAGAAACTGGGTTACCTTTCATCCGGTTGATGTCTTCATAACGGCTTTAAAAAACGTGTGAAACTTGTTTTCGATCTCCTGATAGCGCGCGAGTGGCAGCGCGCATGCGCAGTGAGAGGAAGAAACGCTGCATCGGTTGCAAAAGTCTCAACTGCCACGTAATGTGTTGGAGAACAAGCATTGCTGAGACTGCCACGCCGTCGTTAATCTTAATCAAGAAATGATATTACTTCAAAGATCTTGTTAGTTTTGCTTTTTATACACTGAATTGTATCACTCACACACACCTGTCAACATGTATTACGTGATCAACAGTGCTGTAGTGGTAAAATTAGAGGTGGGTAAACTCTGAATTTTGTGATCATACAGACCTCTACGCGATGCGAAGCAACGCAACACAAAGCGTCGCGACTCTTGTAAGGCTGTCCTGGCTATATTGCATTATGTTACCAGTAAAAGTCATATACAATCAATGACAATGAATAGATGTGTTAGTAGTTTGTAGTTTATTAAATTTAAGAAAACAGTAAAGAAAAGTATGTCAACACAACACAACAACACAATTGCAGATTAAGAACTATCTACATATGGAGACTCCTTTTTACAGTTGTGCCCAGAGGGCCTCCTTGTCCTCCACGTCAGGTCCGCCAGGGAACCTGGAACGTGTTGAACGTGTTGAACGTGTTGAACGTGTTGAACGTGTTCATGGCTCCTCTGTGCTTCTCTCTCTATTGGACCTGGTGTTTCTCCTCTCCCTGTGCTCTCTGCATCATTGCCTGTCATATCACTGCCTGAAAAAATATGTTGAATTTAAGAGTTAACCAGTTAAGCAGCCTGTCAATTACACTGACAACATAAGTTCAAGGAACACTCATGTACTACCTACGTCATCATAAATAGCCTTTACAGCATCTTTTTTTTCACATTGAGAACTGACTTGTTTTCTAATCTACGCGTCACCAGGCGTTTTTCTTGTCCTTTTACCGTGCACGACCAGCGAACACAGAGCGCGCGACTACTACCCCCCCATCGGCCCTTCCGCCCGCAACGACTACTACACCCCCCCCCCCGGTGCGTAAACGCTATTTCCAAAATTCTATAGCTGCGTAAACAGCGTTTACCCTCCACTACAGCCCTGGTGATCAACTACTACAGCTGTTTTTTTAAATGCAATGTTTGAGGCCACGATGCACCCTGCTGCTCACTAACTAATATAAAAGTGCACATCCATACACTTCTTCACCAAAAATACAATACTGTTTTCATATTTTGATATAAGCTGGTGATACTTGATTGAAATGAGCAGCTACAGCCTTCATTAGTTGTATTATTCAACTATTTCCTATACCTGTCCCCTGTAATTACCTCTATATCCTGCGTGCTCCCTCATGCACGCGCAAGACAAAAGCTAAACGCTGTGAATGTTTTCTGAATTATTCATGCCAAAACGCCTCTCTAAAAAAAAATCCTAGTCTGGACGCCAGGTGTCTGTGAAAATGACAGCTCTTAAATCACATGTGCACACGCACACTCGTGTTCATGAAGCGTGCTGCTGCCTCCCCACGTTCCACGTCTGGCATCGATAGGCGGGGTCTGCTCTCGCTCTCCGCATTCCCTCTCCTCCACCCACCCTCGTTAACGCTCGACAGCGTGGACCGGTGGATGCTCTTCCCACTCCACCTCTCTCCTCCCGGCTGCTTTTCTCCCCCCCCCCCCCACCTCTTCACCCTCTGCCCTCCTGACACTCAGCCCAGCGGGGATCTCTCTGTGCTGGAGCTCTTGAGAGGAGAGGTGAGCGTTTTTTTTTTTGTCTTTCCCTGGAGGCAGGGCTTCGCTGATGCAGGTTACATCCTGTGGAGCAGCGACCGGACAGCCTGAGGAGAGAAGAGGATAGACCGCGAACCCACGAGCACCACTGGATGGGCTTTGTGCTGTGAGGAGAGCAGACCGGGGAACCGAGGCGGGAGGGGGGCGACAGAGGGAGGGGAGCATTTAGCAAGAGGGAGCCCTAGTCAGAGGGGTTTGGGGGAGGTGGGCGTGGGGTGTTTTAAAAGTAAAAGGAGGAGTGTGAGAGGAGGGGGTTTGTGGTGTGGGGGGTCCGCTTTGCTCTCAGATCAAAGGACTGGAAGCAGGATTGCTTTTACGCTCGCAGAGAGATTGAGGAGTCGCGGGCTCTCCGGGGACTGTTGCATTGCAATTAAGAGACCAGGCTGTCTGCAGCACCCGCTGAGGGACACAGGGGAGGTGTTTGGGGACACAGGGTGGTGGGACCAGTCAACCGACTGCATCTGGACGGAGGTGAGCCTGCTTCCTTGCGTGAAGGCTCAGAATAAGAGCAACGAGGACGAGGATCAGGAAGAGAGTCCCTCCGGCAGGAGAATCCATAAGAGGATCATGGCTGTCCAACTCATGCCAGAATCCGCCGTGTGTTTGCTCATGGTGAGTCTCGGAGTATAGTGTTGCAGTCTCTGTCTACTGTCTGTCTTTGTATCTTTTTCCGTCCTCTGGTGTGGCTTTCTCTCATCCCTCTCCCCTCATCCAGCCGCTAAACCAGGAGGGGAGCCGTCGCATCATCTAAAGGCGTGTTGATTGTTGTGGCTCCTGCCATTTCCCTAAAACCTAGAACCCCCAACATATACGATAAGTTCCTGGTAAAGCTCTGATGCCGGTTTATGTATTAAACACACGGCTGTTCTTTTGAATCCAATTCAGAAAACTCTAGTTTCTGTCCAACTCCTCCACGTGCTCGACCACTGCAGTGGTGAAGGGTGGGAGAAATGCCATAAAGACCACTGCAGGCATTGGGAGCTAGCGCGGAACATGAGGTCCGTGTCGGGGACAGATGCCATTTAATGTAATATGACTTTTTATAGAGATGTAAAAATGGCATGCGTGTGTGTGTGTGTGTTGCTTTAGCTCGCAATAATTTCCCATCTCTAGACTGAATCAATTGAAACACACACTCTGCTCATTGCAGAGGATATGTAGGATGTTGTTGTTGTAGAATCCAGTCCCTTACTGACATGAAACAGATTGGCCTGGCTTGGATCAGATCTAGCCATAGAGAGCAAAGAAATAGAAACGCACAACACGTGTGAATAGAGCACTTCTTTGACCCATGTCGGTACGATGCACAATGGTTACAATGGCACTGTGGCTTTGCTACACGTGTAGAATACAGATAAGGCACGGGCCACTCTGATTAGCGGCTTTAATGAATTGAAAGTGCACCCCGCATGCAGGGGGGACTTTGTGTAGGAGCTCTTCTTCTTCTCGTTCTGCTCATTCTCATTCTATAGTGTTGGCATTCTGCAGTCGCAGCGGCAGTCATGCATCGGCGCACTACCTGCTATCTCCACCTGTCACGGCTGTCTGTTACTATGGCGATAGGCCATGCACCCCACTTGAGGCAGCGCCAGCTGCGACAGGAGAACACAAGACCACGAGATGATGGACGGGGCAAAGTCAGGAAGGAGAAAAGGGAAGTGTGAGTGATGAGGGCAGGACTAAAAGAGGAGTGAGACATCGGAAGTGGGTTTTTTTTCCCCACAGAAAGTCTTCTAAGGCGGATATTTATCAACGTGTGTTGAGCTCACTCTGCTTCGAACATGACATGAACATAAGTTAAATCTGGTCTCAGTGGAATTTTCCTATAAATACACACAACAAGATTGACATCAGATAACAAAGACAGATCCCAGTGACTTGTTTAACAAAATCTATGGCATTTGTATTCACCTTGACGAGTTTGATTATTAGAGGAAGTTAATGAAGTGCGTGTAGTGCGTGTTAATGCAGCACACATACAACATTCACACCAATGATGTTGGTAGACCGACTCCCTTACCAACCTAAAGCCAGATTTGGTAGGAAGTGACCTCATTCAGTTACAGCTAACAAGCAAAATGACATTTTCTTGTTTTCTGTGATGCATCCTTTATGACTTTATGGGAAAAAAAATAACTGTAAACTGTACTTTAGTTTTCCTCTCGGCTTTATTGGTCTGCAACTAATGTGATTGGCCAAGACGTACTACAGCTGCACTATAAAACCAAATGGGCTCATGTCTACTGGACCAGAAGCAGGAGGGCATTTTATGAGAGCTAGTATCCGAGTATTGCTTTTTTCATTGCACTTCATCATCAGATTGATTAGATGTAAGCAAGTTTCATATGTGTATGAAACCAACACGGGGGATTCGATTTAAATTGTATCAAAATAGACAGAGTGCATCTTTCTCTGTCTGTCAGCTCAGACGACTTCCTGTTTTACTGAAAGGACGAAGGGATCAATAACAAGCCTGTCTCCAGACATACATAGACATGCAGTTATAAGATATTGGAACGGATAAGAAACTAGATCAAACTATCGTTTGACCACAATTGGAGGCGTTGTCTCCTGGCTTTATCCTTCGCCTACAGTTGACTGCACAGGATATGTGTGTTTTTTTATTCTGGACTTGATATGACATGAAACGATTTCCTGTTAACGATCAAACTAAATGGGTGTGTGTGTGTGTGTGTGTTCTTGATTGTAGTCCTCTTGACTTTGAATCCAAACTGGAGCAGCAAGTCTTCACTGAATGGATTAGCTCCGCTCTTCAGGGCACAGAGTAGAGCAGCTGTCTTAGACAGATAAGCAACGACGTACCATTTAAATGCCAACATACTCAAAGGAAATATGTTGTTTAAAAAAAAATAAAGACGTGCTTTAAACCTGCACCCTTTGATGAGCATATTGGGGTAAAGAACATTATTGCAGAGTAAATCCAACAACATCTCTGTGGCTTCAGTCGGAGGATTTAGTTATTTGATGCAACTAATCCAGGGCTTTTTATATATTGAACACATGCTGAAAAAATGGCAAATGCAATCTTAATTAGAGACGGAGATAAAGCTGTCAAAAATGAGTACGCAGTTTGTCTCAATTTTCTCCTTTGGCCCATCTTGTTTTATTTTTTGTGAATCTCTTTGTCTGACTGCCTGTTACAATATGCAGGGGCCGTTGATCGATTGATGCATTTTATCATCAGTTACACTTGACCCAATGAATGCTGCTGAGAGAAAGGAGGGCAGCTATCTTGACAAACACAGAAGCTAAGTGGA